GACGAAAGGCCGAGTTTATGTCCATCGAAAACCTCAAGACCTTCGGTAAGTCACTTTGCCACCTCCCTTAAACCACCTGCGATTCTGTCACTGCTGCGGTTCATATTCGGAGAGCATGACGATGCCTTTCACAAAGTGACGCTGGCATCACTTATACCTTTTTAAATTATAACCCGTTTTCATGGAGTTGTTACTCGCTTCATCTTGTCATACCGATCTGCAGACACTTTGGCGGGGCAGTTTTGAGGTCATGAGAGCCTGAGGCTGACACGTGCTTCTACACAGACCCCTTCGCCGAAGCTGACGAAGACACCGGCGAGACTAAACAGTCTCAGAATTACATCCATATACGGATTCAACGTACGTCTCATCCACCACACCATTTTCTCTGTCGTTACCAACGGCAGATTCTGTTTGCCTGGGACAATAGTTACTAACCGCCGCTGTCAACAGAACGCAATGGTCGTAAGACCTTGACCACAGTTCAGGGTCTTCCTAAGAAGTTCGATCAGAAGAAGATCTTGAAGGTGATCAAGAAGAAGTTCGGTATGTTGTTGCCAGAGCCTCCGACAGAAATCATATGACTCAAACAGCTGACACTTTTATAGCATGCAATGGCACCATCGTCAATGACACTGAGATGGGAGAGGTGATTCAGCTGCAAGGAGATCAGCGTAAGGATGTTCAGGAGTTCTTGACCGACAAGAAGGAAGGTCTCGAGCTCGATGCCAAGACCATCAAAGTCCATGGGTTCTAATTTAGACGCCGCACCCCGTTCCGGTCCCTTCTTCCCAGTCTACATTGCCCTCAGAGTGGTCGGGATAGGGAGCATGTTGTCTTGTCCATCCCTGGTCTGAACCTGCGTGGTGCTTGCCAAAAATGCTTGTCTCCTACTCCTAACCATCTCTGTGCCTGGCACATTGGACTTGGGCCATGTCGAAATGACGCGCTCAAAGTTGATCCTTTGCTCTCTCGTGAGCGGACGACTCACTTGAAGCGGGTCTCAAATTCTCATATTTTCTTGACTCGACTGTTTTTCTAAGAACGGGATTAGCGACGGAACGAGGCGTTGGTAGATACCCACTATCCGCATAGATGTTTTTCAGTTTGTTTTCAACTTTAATGTCTTGCTGCTTCGCAGTATGTGAAGGCGGGTTTGCGCAGCAGACGTCTTGAGAGTGACTTTCTGGCTCTTCTCTGTTTCGTCAAATGATATTACTTTGACTGTTTCTACCAGTCTTAAGAATATCACTCAATCGGTTTTTCATTACTCCGAGAAATTTGTTCGAATAGTGACCAGTACTCAGATTTTTACAAAGTAAAACCTATTTTATCGTCGAAAGCCCGCTCCCATCATAGACAAGGGCTTTACAAAGATGAAGGCGCCTGCGTCTAGTAAACATAGAAAAGAGGCACGTTTTCAAATATATCTACAGCTCCCTAGCTCCAGCCCTTGCATCCGCAACACGCATACGAAGAAATATCGCAACGGCCCAGTCCCACAACTTCCGCGTGATCACGAACACGGGTACCTCTGGCTCGTTCTCACGGGTCAAGTGTAGCTGCAGAAGAAGCGAGGACATACTGACGAAGCTCGCGACTGATACAACCAACAACGATGCGGTTGTCTCACGCTTGATTGTGGCGCGGTTTTGGGTGGCGTGGTAGAGGAAAGTAAGGGTCTTCGATTCACGATGTCAGTATTTCAACGATTTGAGAGTACATAGGTAGGGAGTCAGGGCCGTACGTACTGTTGTGATCGATATCCATGCCGGTAGAAGAAGACGTGGATCTGACGATGCACCGGAGAGGTAAAGAACCCAAGAAGTAATGTAAGCGATCAGCCCGTTTGTTGTAAGAAGACGAATGACAACAGCCGGTGGGGTATAATTCAAAAGCCTGCGGAGAGTGATGAGCAACCGGGAAGGAAAGCACACGGCCCAGAGAGAAAACGAACCATCGAGACATCATACAATCAGCAAAAAAATAAGAAAGATATGCGGATGCGCAGCACTATGGAGAAAGTCAATGGTCAGTGAAAGCCTTAAACCTTCCGGATGGAATCATCTCCATTCTACATACCCACATAATAGCTAATGCCACCTCCGTCACTCTAAATCTCCTCTCTACATCCCAATCTTGTCCAACACTCCCAACAATTGCTGCTGCCCAACCCTCCCGTCCCATCCCCGGCCGTATGTGAAGAAGCTCAGCCAGAAAAGTGAAAGCGCACCGCAGCCCCCACCATGCAGCAGGCACCGTGCTCAGCGCCCGACAGACCAACAGAGGCGCATGCCACTTCCTGTCGACTCCCAAGATGACCGCCACGCGAGGATGGAGCGCCGAAGAGGGAGCGTTGTGTCCTGCATCGTTGCTGAGGGGCAATTGGGAGGCAGGTGAGGCCGGGGACGGAGGGACAATGGCGGACACAGTAGACGGCGAAGCCACGTCTTTATCTCGAAGCTCGCCTCTTGAGATGCGAACTGAAGAGTAAGAAGGCGGAAGTGGTGGTTGATTCGAGTCCGGACGGGGGGTATTTATATCAGGCTCCGAAGGAAACTGATTATGGAGGGGGAAGGGCGGAGGAGCGGCATCACGACGAGGAGGAGCCAGCCTTATTCACGGCATATGCGGCCGCTGCGCAATGACACCACAAAAGAGAGAAGGGAAGAAAGGTCAACGAAATGGCTGGCGAGAGAATGATCCGCTAGATTGTGCGGGGACCAGTTCACCTTGCTGAAGATGTGATGTTTCCTCTTCCTTTTTTTTGCCTCTCCGAGAACAAAAGGCTCCTGGCTGGGCAAAATGGCAAAAATGACGGTTGAGAAAAGTTAAGCACAACTAGCCAAGTAAGTCAGAGGGAAGCAGCCAGGACCCGACACATTCAAAGCCGAGTGTGTCGCGCGGATTTGGGTGATCATTGTGATGGCAAATGCCAAAACACCGGTTGGAGACCCGCAGCGGAGAAGCCAGTCATGTGATTAGCCCCATCCCGAGATTTCCATCGCTGGATATCATGGAATAATAATTTGTCGCAGACTCAACAGGCCATCCCAGATTCTAGTCCGTCAATTCGGCGCTCCTGCTGCCTTAGCCCATAATGGCGTCCTCCCTATGGCTCTCTCCAGGCTCCTTGCGCACGGTTGCGCGGTCCGGCGCTCCCATTGCCCAATTCTACCAAACCACATCTTCGTCGAATTCCGCCATGGTAGCATATCGCCAATGCCGCTCCTTCTCTCAGTCTCAGGTGGCCCAGCGCGGCTTGTCTGGCGTACCGCAGAATATTTCAGTTAAGCAGCCTGCACAACCGAGTATGAAAACCAGAGGTAGAGAATTATCAAGGTCGGAATTGCCACAGGACATTGGGCTTTTACCGGGCACTTTCATTCGACCTTTGTGGAGAGACATGCCATCAATCTTTCAACAACCGAAAGAACGTCTACAGCTCGAGTGGCTATGGCTGAAGAATGCGGTTCAGAACTTCCTTGGGTATGTGTGCCGTTCCCCGTTTGCGGCTATCCGGGAAAAGTCTCGGGTAGCATGGTGACCCTTTAAAACAGTCTGGTGCTAACATATACCAGGCTGATCGCTTACAGCAAATGGATCAACAAGGGACTACCGTTGCGCCTGAAGGAGCGGCGCCAGGTTGCTCGCGAGCTACATCAGCGGATGTATAGTGCCTTTGCCGAGTAAGTTGCCATTCGTATCACCTCGAGCTTCACGCACTCGATTAACCAGTTCTTTTGATTGTCTACAGCGGAGATGTCAATACCCTGCGCAAGATCTGTTGCACCGGCCTCGCAAATACCCTCAGCTCCCGCATAGCCAGCCGTCCGAGGGATGAGAAGGTCACTTGGGCCCTGGACAAATACAACCGCACGCCAGGCACGCTCTTCACTGGTATTCGTGTCTTGGCTGATCGTGCCACGCAAATCCCAGACCTGCCTGATTCTGGGGTACGACAGGTCGTCGTGCGTATCACTAGCCGTCAGTCAACGAGCAAGGTCACTATCCCCACCAAGCGCGGTGCTGAAAGCGCTGTTGCCGCAGAGCCTGCGCCAGCCAAGCAGCAGGACTGCACGGAATACATCGTTATCCAGAAGCTTCGGTGGACTGGTGAAGACCAGGAGTGGCGTATCTGGGGTCATGCCACTCCCACGACTGTCGAAGATCTCGACAGCCCCTTCTTTGCCTCGGGACTCACGCTCGCCGAGCGCATGGACGCTATGAGGGACATGATGACAGGAAAGAAATGATGTGAATCATTCTTTTCAAATTATCGCTCAATTTACTGCGCCATGTTGCAGCTTGAATCCCCCTATGCCAGTGCGTTCGGGGCCAATCGTCCCGAGAATAAGTCTTCATTCTGTTATCGACCCGGCGAACAACAAGTATTGTGCGCATTGCATTATTGAGGAGAGTTTCATGCTCTTCTCGACCCCCTATCGCCTGCATGTTAGCGGCTTCATGGCTTTCAAATGTCGGCTGCTTTCCATTCTGGCATGTGTTATAAGTATGCAGATTCTTTGGTCGTGCTTTCTTTTCAACTCGGGATGATCTCCTCACATTCCTGTTATGACTTGTATTATTCAGCGGGATATAAGGGAGTCCGGACCATTAGATCTCGTTATGAACTGTACCATATCAATTTTGCATTTCCCGTTATTCATGTAATTACTGAAGACCGTATCTTGGGATCTATATCCCAAAATTGGACTGCCACTACGTTCAAGGCGAGAAATACATACCATGTCCCAAAGTAGAAGTAAATTATGAAACAGGGGTGGTATCTCATCAGAAAAAAAGTCAATCCAACGTCAAAGAACAATATTTACATCGGGAGCTATGCGAAAAAACGGGTGGAAGGTATGACAGGGGAATCGAGAACGACAATTATGTGCAATCTGCAGCACAAACAGAGGCAACGGACATGCTTTCTGAACTCACCAGCATGGTCCTTAAGGGTCATGCAGCTCCCAGTCTGGTAGCGAGAGTAAAATCTAGTCGTCATCGAATATCTGGAACGTATTGACCAGAATGGTCTCAATAACGCGGACCTGCCAACCGGCATCGGCAATGTTGCCGCCGGAACTGGCACCCATGAGAGTAGGTCTAGCGATGCTTGTCAGCTTCCGAAGATCTCGGAGAGAACGAATTTGATGGTATGGAGGATGGCGACTTACCCAAAGCAGATTGCAATGTTTCCTGCATTCATACGATTATTCGTGTAATGTTCTTGGACTTTGTTGAGATGCTAGAATCGAGCAGATTAGACCTTGGAAGATAGAAACATGGGGTGAACATCGAACCACTTACCAGTATCAGAGCCCTCAGCGTGGCGTAGTGCGCATCTGGAAGGTTATTGATAAGTGCATGTAGTGAATCCCTACGCTGGATATCATCATCGATCCCTACGGGAATACGTGTCAGCTCTTGTCACATGGCAACTTGGGTTTCGACTCGAGGTACTTACGAGCTGCATTAACGAAATCTGAATAGTACCGGGAAGTGAACAAGGGATCAGGCAGGTCTCTAAAGAACTGTTTCAGCAGCCCGGCGACACTATTGACATCGTGATAGAAGCTCTCGGGATTCGTAAAATCCACTTGTGACGAGTCTGTCATCCATAGAGATCAGCACTTGGCAGATTGGCGGGTTGAACTGCGGTTGCACATACCGTTGTCGAAAAGCGACTTCATGTGGTTGATGTGATTAGCGCTCCCCGAGAGACGGTAAATGCCCTCCATATCCAATCCAAACAATTCTATTGCCTGAAGACATTGGTACACAATCATGGGTACCGCAGTCCCATCTCTGGCATACAAATCTTCCAAGGAAACCCCAAAGACCGGCCTCAGAGGAGGTAGATTCTGTTGGAAGTTGTTACCGGGTGGCGGCAGAGGATTAGCCGGTGCCGTCATAGGCGGTTTGTTCACATTGCGCTGATCTTGAGCCGGTAACCCAGAAGAGGTGGGATAAGGTGGGTGAAATGGGGGTGGCGAGGAGAACGAGTCTGGATGTGGCTGAAAAGGCGATGGCTGGGGGTTTTGAGCGGATGCTGGTGCCGGGGCTGGTGCCGCGGCCGGTCCCGATGGCTGAGTGGTAGGAAGATGTTGTTGGGAAAATGATGAAGGAAACACAGTTGACTGGCGCTTGTTCTGTGTGGAAGTCTGCGAGGCCGGAACAACGGGTGTGGGCGTACCTCCCAGTGTCTAAAACGAGATGAGCATGCAGATAATGAAATCATTGACAAATTATAACCCACCGGATGACGCTGGTACTGAATCTGCTCCGAAGTCACCGCACCAGGATTATGTTCGTAGCTAAGAATGTAATCATGGAAGTCCCTCTGGTTGTCAATCTGCCGAACCACCTCATACAGACTCTTTGGTCCAATAGAGCCATTGCCTGCGCCGTCATCTAAAGGCGTGATAGATAAGCCTTGTCCCAGCAGCAATTTCTCATTAAATGTCGCTAACGCATGAGTTAGCGCAAAGATCAAGAAAATGGTTCAATGTTGGGACCCAATGACAATCATACCGAACTTTTGTAGCTGCAACGTAAGACCAGAGTCACATTCTGCAATCAATTTCTGGATATTGTGCACAGCCTGCGGACGATGGGTGGAAATCAATTCTCGTCGAGCCGCTTGTGCGGCCGTGACCTTGGCAGCATAATCCCCGTCTGCATTCTGCACTTTACGCAACAGCTCTTCTTCGTGCTGGGCAGCAGATTTGTGTCCCTTCAAGCCGAATTTCCCACCCTGTTTGTCCCCGGTTTTCACGCGATCGTACTGCTCCGCAAGAGATTCGTACTTGGCTTTTGCTTTCTCCGCTGCCGCTTCGGCCTCAGTAACCCTTTTCTCCGCGCTCAGGCCGGTCTGTTTCCATTGTTTGCGTCCCTTCTCGATATTCGTGGCGAGCTCGTGGAGATCGTCGGCCATCTGCTGCAGAGATACTGCGAATTGCAGTCCATGGTCCGCCATGCGTTCGTGGAATCGGTTGAGATCATTGTAGCTGGTGCCGTAAGTGCCTTGACGATTGTCGGAGCGGTTGGCAGCGTCATGAAGAGAGCGAGACAACTTCTTCAGACCCTGTGCATGTTCTTCTTCCAGAGAGGACCGCTTCTTGAGGAATGCGGAGAAATCCTGCATGTCTTTGGGTCAGCGCACGAGAAATCCCCTTTTCCTAACGTTAGGATGGGAGGGATAGCATAAGGTGGCCAGAACGCACCTTCGCAGAAGCTACGCTCTGCTTCAATCGTGTCAAGAGCGTTGTGATACCGATCTAAGATAGTAAGAGCTCGGGTCAGCTGCAAGCGCTCCGTCTCGCGCATGTGGGATGAAGCTATGTTACGAATCACCTACATCAGAGTAAATGACTTTGTCCAAGCGAGCTTTCAGCTCCTCTGTCATAGGTGGTGGTCCCGGACGAGCTTCAGACTGTCCCGCAGAACCAGCACTCGATGGTGGCGCATCGGGATCCCTGAACAATGGAACAATTGGCGCTGAGCCATCGGGAGTGGCAACGTCTGCCATAGAAAAGCCTGCTGAAAGAATTGACGATATAACCGTAAATTAAGCGCAGAAGTCGTGTTTTTGAACCTGAGTAGGCAAGAGTCTACGAGAAATCACTTTGTCGGATTGCGGAAGCCTAAACGGTAGGGGAGTACGGATGCTACTAATAATAATACGCTGATGCTGATGGTTCGTTGGCAGAACGGCAGTATGGCTGGCGGTGGGGATGGAGTGGAGGGCTTGCCTTAGTGGAGGCTTGGTACCTTAGGTTTCAACCGCTGAGGTACCTTACAGAACAGGTACAGACGACAAGTCTAAGAGTGAGACTGAAGAGCCTACCTAGGCTCGTAGGTAAGGTACCTTAGCCTCTCCTCTCAGATAATTGAAGCATTCCAAGTTCAAGAGTCAGAGAGGTTGGTCACTGGAACGGAAGACCAACTAGGACATACGTCATGAGAGTTGGCGGGGGGCTGATACTCCGTAGTGTCTCTGAGATACTTGATGGCACTCGGGCATTCGTGATATAGTACTATTGACCATAATATCTAGTTCGACTGGATTTATTCATGAGAATGACAGCTTGTCTTCGAGCCTACCTAGCTAGTAGCTAGTCCTTGGTACCTTGCACTCTACGGTACTGGAGTACCTACAGTACAGACCAAGCCCCGTTGGCGCGAGACCGAAGGGATTTCGGTGATAGAAGGACGTCCTGGTTTGAATACAAAGTATCAATAATTCATGGATATTGTCGACCGAGGCCATTCGAACTGCGTGCGATTGTAGTTTCCTCCATTTCATATAGGACAAGGTATGTCTATAAGCAACTCAGATCGCTTGCCTCAGGCATCACATGAGTCAGCAAATTTTCCGCCGAGTTTCGCGCTTAAGGAATCCCCAGCTTTTCTGCCGATTTCCGGCACCTAAGCAGATTCTTTGTGTTGATACTACCACGCTTTTTGCATGTGTTAATGGGACTCCGCGGTACAATACCGGCGGGCGAATTTCTCTTACTTTATACTGATGGATCTGGAGTTCCGGGGTGTCATAGCACCAAATGGGCTGCCTACACATGCGAGTTTGATAACGCCCCCGGGCACCAGCAGCGACCTTCGGAACACGCCGAGGCTTCCCCGGCCGATGACAGGCTTCGATTTCTCAAATAGGAGTTCGGAACCTTGCGAGATGGAGAAGATCCCCGCGCAAATCACTGGAAAGCGGCGGGGTGGTAGTAGAAAGGCCTGTAATGAGTGTAAACAGCAAAAGGTGAGCTAATCAGCCCTTGGCTACTGGGCTTGCGGTGTTGAATGGCCCAAGATGAAATAGCCCACCTCCATATATAAGACATTTTTTCCTCGACTGCTGGCTGAACATGGTACGTTGGGTCTCAACAGCTTCGATGTGATATTGTTCAGACGCCGGCAGCCGCATGTTCGCGCTGCCGGCGACTTCAGATAGAATGCAAGGTTGAGCCTACATTCAAGCGAATCTCCAAACGGAGGTAAGTCTTCCACGATACGAACTGATACTCGAGTACCCGTTTTCCTGTCTGACAGACGATCTTTGGCAGACGCAATGCTGAAATGGAAAAGGAGATCGCAGAACTCCGTCGACGGCTTGCTATCAATGGCGAACGGCCTCAGACGGTGGAGGCCAATGCCAGCGATGAAATGTCGCAGTGTTCAGAGGATGTGTACTGTGGACCAGACTCCGCGGTTTCCAGTCGGAGTCGCCCTCTCTCTGTCCCCTTGGAACAGCAACCTCTGCCAACTCCTTTGGCTTTGCCCAGAAACAGTTCCATCATCTCCCAGGATGACAGTCCTTGGAGGTTGGATGATATCACCCTCTCCAGGCAACGAGTAGCACGATTATTTGACCAGTACTTGCCCACTTCCCCTTCTTGTTCAAGAACGATTGGCGTCTGTTAACAACCCGCTAGATACTTCACATATTACCACCCCTTTCTGCCCCTTCTAAACCCTCAAAAGCCTCCTGAGGAGTATCTGCGCCGCAACAGCTTGCAAGCTTGGACGATCATTTGCATTGCTAGTCGTCGAGCCCCATCGGAGCCGGGTCTTCTGGGTTCACTCACTGGGCCTTTTAGCAGGCTTCTTTGGTCGACCCTTACAGGAGTTCCTCAAGACTACCGCGTGGTCAAGGCTTTATGCCTACTTTGTACATGGCCGCTGCCTACAACAAGTCAAAGGACCGATGCTACCTTTATGCTTAGCGGACTGATGATGCAGATTGCGATGCAGCTGGGCCTGCATCGACCTGTCCAGGCAGAAGAGTTTACGACTTTTCGAATGGAAGCTCAAGGGGAAGCAGTGAAAGATCGTTTACAGACATGGGCTATCTGTAATATTGTGGCTCAGAAGTAAGTAATGGCGGTCCCTACCAGCAACGCTATGCGTCTTGGATGTTGACAAATGCCTTTGCAGCGTCGCAACCGGCTACGGACAGCCTCCTGGCACCATCTATGATTGGGCACTTGAGCCAGCATCTCTCCGAGACGCCGATTACAATCCTTCGGATGACTTGCGGATCCGATTGCGGATTGAAAAGTTCTGTGATCGAGTGACGAAGGCACTATACAGCGGCAAGCCTGAACCAGCCGAATTCATCAGTTCGGAGAAGTTGTTAATCGTGCAGCTTCTGGAGAGTGAACTTCGGGAGATGGAGGTTGACTTTGGTCGAGACATATCACGTATGAATACCTGAACTGCTGTTGTTGTCGTTGAGCCGCCGCTAAGCTGTCCTCTCCAGACATCAATATGATCCATCTGCGAGCCGCCGAGTTACATCTGAGATACTTTGTGTTCTTAGGTTCTAATCCGAGAGGTGAAGATTTGACAAAGCTTTTCATCGCTACGACATCATTTCTTGGGCGAGTTTTGGACTTGGAGACATCTCCTGGAGAATTGATTGGCCACGCCACCAATTATATCCTTCAGATGATAGTCTCTGCTGCCTTTGCCCTTATGAAATTGTTGAAGAGTGATTTCAGCCGTCATATCGACTTCGATCACGGCAAATTACTGTTCAATGGAGCCATCTCGGCCATCCGACGGATAAGTGTTATGGACCATGATCGCCCTGTTCGCCTGGCCGATATTTTGGCTCAGATGTGGAATGCAAACGAGGCGGAACATTCTCCGGGCGATAATATTTTAGAGCTGAAAGTTCGCTGCAGAATGAGCATGAGTCATGTCTATGACACGGTCTGGCGCTGGCGACAGAGATTCAGGCCTATGAGAAGCGTCGAGGACGCGCAAGGTCGGTTTATTCTTATTTCTATTCCGTATATTTGCCGTTGGAATGATCGCGTAAAGCTGACTTTGCGCAGTCACCGTGGCCAACCCAAACATATCGGCGGCCGCAGGCACTGTCACCCGGCAGCAGGATGATACCCTAGATGAACCTGGTTTGATATATCCGCCCAATTTCGACCAAGGTGCCTTCATCAGTGAAGCAGGGTTCTCCGAAGTTTTTGATTCCCTCAACTGGGTCTTTGATGGGATTCCTGATTCCTTCGTTGCACCGCCGGTCATGTAGCCCTTCCAATGAACTCGCTATGCTGTATATTTTATTGTATACTGCTTTTGAGAAATGCAACGGTCCTGTTGACGCCCGCCAGCTTTTATGCACCACACACAGCCATCATCTCACGCCTTAGGCTGGTGTCTCGGACCTGTATGTCATACTGCGAGTTGTCTGAGTATGCATTGATGCCTGCAATGGTTTGCGTCTCCAAGTCCGCATGGAAGATGCACATGGAACAACCAGTGATCTTGGCTGTCCAGACGCCCGAGGTCGTAGGCGGCAAGACCTCGATGGACCGAGCGCCAATTGGCCGGAGCTCTTCAGATCTCTTTTTATGACTTCATGTTGTGTATATAGAGTACTTTGCATGATACCATTTGATTTAGGAAGCACAAAAGAATGATAGGGTTCTCGATTGAGAGTTCATGAAAGGAAGATCTCCCGGATCACACTTGCCGAGGCTGTGAATCAGGACGATGGAGAGATGCTTGCTCGACCCCACCCGTTGTATCACTGGATGGGGGTTCCCTTGTCGAACACACAGACCATATATATACCTAAGCGCGCCCGTTGATGAGGAAGCCAATACCTAGGCATGCCTGTGTGCTGCCATATGATTGATAGAGTGATGATACGGAGTACGACTCAAAGCACACTCATCTCAGATGATCGGTAGGGCTTCACTTTAAGCAGATGGGCATTGTCCCCCGTATCAATCATGAGTTGAAGATTGGAAGTCCTATTATTCAGTGCTGAATGCTGATCATTGCTAGGGATGTCCATGCGATGCAGCCAAGACGCGATAACATCACCCCATGTTCGTAGCAACCTAGCAAGGTATATTTAGATAGATAGTCTGGATGGTTGGGAGGTTAAGTACTGTTTCCTGTTTTCTACTAGTTGAGAGGGCTTCGGTGGCGGTCAAGAATTGGGGGGACACGGCGTCCAATGGTGATGATTGCTGTAGGTACCTATTTTCTGATGCGATATCGAGGTATCGAGAGTGCATGGTTACATAGGAGTTATTCATGGCAGATACGCCATAGTCATAAGCACTGAGGTATCTATCCGGCTAGACCTCAGTACTCCGTACTAGCTAGGTTATTCTCTACCAAGTATTAATTCATAGCAGATGGATGGGATGGATACTGAGTCTGGACTCTGGAATCGAAAATGAGTTTCCAGGAGCAATAATGGCACCCTATTAGGACGGGATACTCGGTAGGTACCTTGCCTTCAATATCCATGGTTCCTACGGATCAAATCCCCCTTGAACCTAAACATAAACAGACGTACTCTTGGCTGAAAGATAATTAATGATTCTGCGTGTGGATTTGAACAGTTTCAGATGAGAAAGACTACAAGACTGTCGCTATCGAAGCAATTGACTAACATCCAGTATCTATCTGTGCTCAATGACGGATCGAAATGATCATACTGTTCCACTAACTACTAGAACTACTGTTGCTGGTGGGGACTTA